TTGTTTTCTCCTCCAGATTGTTCATCCAGCCTATCTTATTTAGACAGACCTGATAATAACATGCACAAAAGCAAGACAGAGAAAAACCAAGCAACAAAATAAAACAAATCAACAAGAAGCCAATGACAAAACAAAACACAACAACAAGAAAGAAAAGCTTGTAGTTAGTTCAAGGACTGTTTGTTGACCTTTACGAATGTTTTTTAGTCGAGTCTGTTGGGGTACCAAGCCCTGGTCCCAAAGTCTATTTTTGGTATTCCCTGGGTACTTCGTTGCTCTGTTCCCCTTGCTGTTCTGTTCCACACCCTTAGTGTTTTGCCTTGGTGTGGTGGGATCAGATCGGGCGGAATTCCCACACTGTGTCTCCAGTGTTGTCCCCTGTAGGGCTATGGATCAGTGAGGGATGTCGTGTCTCATAGTGGGGCCGGCCATGTGGTCTTCTCTGTGGATTGACTGCTCTGAGAGGAAATATCATCCTCAAGGTTTGGTGGGCCAGGATGTGCTCCACTCTCTCTTCCTCATAACTTTTTTTTTTTTAATCCAACAGTATTTCTGAACTATATTTTGCTCCTCTTTCTTCCGAGAAATTGAAAATCAATGACTGTGAGACTGGCTGTTTTTCCCAAAGTCTAGTTGTCTTTAATTCTAAGGGGTAATACTCTTCCTTTTGCATCTAGGTCTTAAGCTCCAGATCCTGTGAATTTGGTCCACAGGTCCTTAGGCCAGTTCTATGTTGACTTGCTACTTCTCCCACTAGCATGCTAATGTTCAGCTACTAATACTGCGTAGTGGCTGCTTGACACCCACATGCAAAACAAATTGAATTATTGGATACACTTTCTTCAATTCTAAATTTCTATCACTGAGAGTACTGAAATAGCTTTGATGCATATTAGTGCTTGCTGGTGATGGGATGTAGTGGAACATGGTTGATGATTCAGTACAAAATTTGACAAATATCATTGTTCCTCAGAGAGCCCAGAGGCTTCCAGAACCAGCTCAGAATTAACCCCTAGAGTTCATTGACTGAGACTGTGTTCATGCTAAGGACATTTTGACTATCAAGGCACCCACCCAGAGTCCATGTCTTTGCCTTATTGTTTGCGTAGTGCTGTTTGCTTAAAACTAGAAGCAAATGCCAGCAATGGACCATTTCTTAAGGGTGGTTATTCTTGACAAAGGTCTAACCATAAATGAAATGTGGAAATTTTTCAGTGGAAGTGTTTTTATCAACTCAAAACGGGGGTTAGGAATAAACCTCGGTTATCCTTGCAGCCAAAACTTGCATCATTTTATTCATACAATTAGATTTCATTCAAATAATAGAGCCCAAAGAACAGTTGCAAACCATGAGATTGGTGAGACAAACAAAAGAAAACAAAAAAATCTGATGCAGTAAGTCTGCATTTAGTGGGTTATATAGTACTGAAATCCAAACCGTAATAATGGTGTTAAAATGGAAAACAAAAATGGGAGTGGATTAGTTCTGTTTGGCAGAAAATTCATGAAGGCCTAAGGTTGACTTAATTTCCTTTTCACGAGGAGAGAAGTTTTCAACGAAAAATTCAGCCGTGGTGATCTAGTTCTGAGTAGAAGTGTGCACTCCTGAATGGTGTCAGGATGAAAATCGGGTCAATATATTAGAATTATGTAGAAAATCATGTCATTTCCAAAGGCTAGGGAAGGGAAGCTAGCTTAGCAGTGCAGCGCCGTTGACTTGGTGACTCACGTAAAGGATGGGTATGATGTAACTGGCGACCGACCTACCCTGTGGGTATTAACTAGTCTGATAATGAAGATGACAATTGTCCTAATAAGGACAACTCATAAATTAAGTGATTTTATTGTATACCAATCTCAGGAGAAGGCACCCTGGTGGGACACTAGACTAGACATTGGGCTGCTACCCAGAAGGCTGGCTTTTCCAGAGAAAGATGAGGTGTCTGTGTTAAAGATGTATGGTCTCGGAAACACTGATGAGCAGTTTACTCACTGTCGGCTTGCTGTGAGTCCGAATCAACCTATTGGCAGTGGGTTTGGGTTTGGGGGAATATAGAACAAAGAACGGCCAAGTTCCTGCCTTGAACTCACGGTAGGCGCTCTTGACAGTGACCTTATACAAAACACCTGGCTTGAGAAAAGCATAAATTAATAAACATGTTAATAAGAAGCACAGTGGATTTCTTTGGAGATCATGAATTAGGCACTCCAGCGAGGGAATATGAGAAGCGCTTTCCACAGCCCAAACAGGGATCAAAGTGGCCATTCTTCATGCCAGTCTTGGCACCCGTGCTGGTCGGGCATGGGCTGATTAAAGAGGGGATTAACTCCCTGCTGCCCCGAGTTTGTATGAATGCACCGAGCCTGCCTGCAAACCTGGCTGGAGACATGCTGGACTTGAACTCTCCCTGTTTTCTCTGCTGTCATCCGGTCTGGCGGGCTGTGAGCGCCCAGTCCTCCTTATCCATACTTCAGTAGGGTTTCTATAGTTGCCGAACCAATGGCTAGAGCACGCGGTGCTGGCAGGTCCTAGGGCTTTTCTGCAAAGACTGAGTGGATTTCAGCCACCAGGGCGCCTCTAATCGTCACCCCAGGCAAGGATGCTGAGAGATCTGCTAGGAGCATTCATGTACTAAGAAGTCTGCCGAAAATGGAATTCAGAACAAATAGGATGATTGTCAAAAGCCAGATTCTGTTCGTGGGCCGTGCACTTCCTAAGCAGCCATCGCCAGCTGTCAAGGGAGGGTTGCATGTTGTTTGCTCTGAAGCAGAGCACGTTTCGGTGCAGGTGCCAGGCGCAGCTAGACTAGGAAGGAAACCAGTTGATCACAATCTAATCCCAGCTGATCGTGCAGGGAGCGCAGAATTGGGAAGAGTTTTGTTTTCCATTGTGTGTGGTGCCAGTTGCTGAGCCATTGATGCCTCCTTGGTAGAAAGCAAGGCCCCAACCTCATGAGATGACATTTGACTGACAGCTACACGATCTCAAAAAATACGTTTGGTGTTTCCGTCCTCCCCCCGCCAGCCTTGCCTACGAGAGGCCAGCCGACTGCTGTGTCTTGGGGTCTCCCTGCCTCCTCTTGTTGTTTCACATACATCCTCCTCCTCCTTGCAGACCCAACACTGCCCTGTTGGACCCAAGTTCTCCTGAGTTCTCTGCTGTGGTCTCCGTGGGTGACTGGCTGCAGGCCATTAAAATGGATCGGTATAAGGATAACTTCACAGCTGCTGGTTACACCACGCTAGAGGCTGTGGTGCACATGAACCAGGAGTAAGTACTCAGCGATGTAACACCAAAGGGTAAATCTGGATTTAATAGTACTTTTCCTTTTGTTCTTGCTTTGAGCTGCACACTCATCCTACTCATTAAAATAATAAGAGTGCTACGAATAAGTCCAGCTCAGGAATGCCTCTCATTTTTGCTTCCGAGTGATTCACGCGGCCTGGACAACACCATTGGATTGCTTACTTGTGCATTCTCCCTCCCATGGCTCCTTGTGCTGTATGACTCGTGGCTGATTCAAATGTGTGTCTGCATGAAACCCCGGAACGTGCTTATCCCAGATCTCATGACTTTCTCTCTCTCTCTTCTCTTTCTCTCTCCCTCCCCACCCCCTCCATACAGCGACCTGGTCAGAATTGGCATTGCGGCCATCACGCACCAGAATAAGATTTTGACCAGTGTCCAGGCCATGCGAACCCAAATGCAGCAGATACATGGCCGCATGGTTCCTGTCTGAGCCAGTACGGAATAAACTCAGAACTCTTGAGATTAGTTTACCTCATCCATGCACTTTAATTGAAGAACTGCACTTTGTTTACTTCGTCTCCGCCCTCTGAAATGAAAAAGGAAAAAAAAAA